GATTCCCCACAATGTACAGCACTGAACAATAGGCTACATTCTTTTTTCTCCCCCCCCCCCCCCCCCCCCCCCCCGGAAGCAACAGTTGGTTACTAACTACATAGCCAGTTGTCTGGTCAGTGTAGATCAGTAGTTCTCAACCAGGGGTATGTGTACGCAGAGGTCTTCCAGGGGGTACATCAACTCATCTAGATACTTGCCTAATTCAGTGGTTCTCAACCTATTTACTATTGTGGGCCGCATATGTGGCCGCATCCAATACTACCTCTCTGGCCCTGAGGATGTCACACAGACCGCAGCTCTGTGCTGGCTAGGCTGCAAGTGGCCCAAGGGCCGCAGGTTGGGAACCACTGTTGTAGATCCTTAGTTAACAAGCTTTTTTAAAGGTTCTGGTGTGTTTGTGGTGGGGGAAAGAAATAATTGCCCCAATTTCTTAGGGCATGTCTACACTACAAGCTTAAGTCAATCTATAGTAGGTCAGCTTACAGCCACTGCAGTAATTACTGTGGTTTTCCATGTCCACACTACCCTCCTGTTGGTGGTGCATATCCTCACCAGGAGTGCTTCCACTGACTTCAGAGGAGCAGTGGGAGGGGCTGAGATCCTGGACTCTCAGCTCCTCTTGGAGCTCCTCACTGGGAGCTCAGCCCAGGCTCTCAGCTCCACTCCTGCTGGGAGCCTGGGTACTGCTGCCGGGCTCCCAGCTCCACACGGAGCTCCATACCAGGAGCACAGCTGGCTCCCCGCTCCCCACCGGGAGCCTGGAGCCTGCGTGACAGTCAGGCTTGGAGCCAGGAGCCTGGATCAGACCCAGGAGCCCAGGGGGGAGGTTGGGGGGAAGCCGGGCTCTAGCTGGAGCCCCCCAGCCGTCCTGGGGTAACAGGCCGAGCTGTGAGGTGGATGCGGGGTTCACAACAGCGAGTTTACCAGCCTTTCTTGTCAGTTTCATAGCTCCAGCACTGAGTTATTAAATTGACAAGAATGAGAGTGAACAGCCAATGTACCGGTATGTAACTCAGCATTTGCACGGACACTGTGTTGCCCTAACTACACCGACATAAACCCTACGCCTCTCTGTGTAGCAGGGCATTTAGGTCGGCGGAAGCAAGGCTGTAGTGTGGACACTGACACAATTAGGTCAACATAAGCTGCCTTACATCGACCTAACTCTGTAGCGTAGACCAGGTGTTAGTTTATCTTCATTAAATGTCATCTTGCTTACAGGGTGTGGCCTTCTCTCCAGCAAACTTTACTCACTGGCATTCCACTGTCAGTGGAGAGGGACTGTAAAATGAAAACAGTACAAAAAAGCAGCAGTCTGAAAAGTTTTATACAGTCATCTTGATCTTATCACCAGCCCTTTCCGCCCAAACCCACCAAACTTTTTACTGAGCTGTCTGTTTGCCTATAAATAGAACAGCAGCTCTCATGCAGAGATGGGCAGCGCTAAACCAGAGGCTCATTCTCTTCCGAGCCGTGTGTGTGTGAGAGAGCAAGAACCGTGTGGGGTTCTCACTGGCCTTTCATGTCTGAGTTATGTAGCGCTGAGGTTTTCTGTAGTTATAGACTAGAGAGTGACATAAACTGCTTCTTAAGGGAGGGGCGAGGTGACCACTCTGTAGGGTATTTTTTCTTTTTTTAAAAAGAGCTTGATTTAAAGGAAGAGATGGAGGAGTGCATGTCTCTTGCAGAGGTGAGTGACGCCTGTGGAGGTGAGGGAGCATCTTGATCAGATTGGGAGCGGGATGTGAGCAGTACAGAAGGTAGAAGGAGTGAGTGGAACAAAGTGGGGATTGTGAGAAAAAGCAGAGATGCTGTTCTGTTACAAACTAACATGTACTTTGACTGCGGGCTGGGGAAGAGTTCAAGCCAGCCAGGAAGCTGCGGGCTGAGCCTGGAAGGGTCAGATTCTGGCTGCTCCCAAAGCAAGTGTGTCTTGGAACAAGGAGCACTGGAAGAAGACCTTGAAATAACCCACTTGATGTGGTCTGGTATCTATTGGCATCCTTTAAGCAGGCCTCCTGCTTGAGTGCTGACACTGGAATTTGTGGGATTTGCTTCCAGGGATCCTTTAGATGATTTGTCTCATTCTCTCCCAGACACCAAACCCAGAGACTGGCATTGTTTGGTATCTGTTTTTCTCCCCCCTTCCCCGCAAGGAATGGAAAAGATTATTCCTTGTTTCTGTCAGAATCCCAAGAATCTCTCCCTCCCACCATCTGTCCACACTTGCATCACCCTAACAACACCTTATGCGCCCCCCCCCCCTACTTCTGACCAAGAAGGACTGCAGAGGACTTTCGGCAAAGTCTGTCAGATGCTGCCCCCTTATCTGTCCATCTTAAGTATTTATATGGCCCCCAATATCTGAGCATCTTCCCATATTTAATGTATTTATCCTCACAACAACCCTGTGAGGCAGGGCAATGCTATTATCCTCTTTTTACAGGTTGGGAACAGCGAGACTAAGTTACTTGCCCAAGGTCACACAGGGAGCTGTGGTGGGGCAGGGAATTAAATCCAGGTCTCAAAAGTCCCAGGCTAACACCACCCTTCCTCCTAAGCATCTAAGGATGGGAGTGATTCTAGCTACTCCCTCTCCCAGGGATGTCCAGTCCCTCTTGCAATGGGGGGTCAGACTAGGGTCACTAACTGAACACAGATTTCCTGCACAGTGCTGCATAGCACCACCTCTAGGCCAGCCCTCTGGTCTTGTTTCTGAGCTTCTCCGCAGTGTACTGAGCTGATGAGCAGCAGCAGCAGCATTCAGACTGCCATGAGATTTTGAATAGTCCTGATCTTTCTAATATTGTGTATTCCTCTGGGATATATCGCCATTGTGACATGTGGAAAATGGATTTCCAGAATGCCTTTCGGCACTCCTTTTTTAGGGAACATGAAGCTGAGAGGGAAGTTAGGACTTTGTCTTTAGTTTTACAATTTTTGATTACTTTTAGTGCTCAAGAAAACATAGATTCTGGTCTTGCTGGCTGGAATGAGGTTAGGCACAGTTAGTGAATCAGTTAGTATCTCAACCAATAGCTGAGTCTGTTAGAGTGGGGCTGTTGAGGGGAAAGAGCACTAGTGGCCAGGCCTGAGTCTTGCGGGTGTACTTGGGCCTACAAGCTAGCATCTCCTGGTTTGTAGATAGTGGAGTATGGGCCTGTGGCAGAGCGCAGTTGTGCTTGCCACATGGAAGTGCTTCAGCGGTACAGGCTGGGATGGGGATTTAGATGGTCTTAGCCGTAGACACACCTCTTCAACCTCAAATAGAGATGATGGGGAGGTATTGATGAGCTCGTTGGCAAGAAACCACTCTTCTCCTCTCCTTCTGGTGTCAGAAGGGCACTATTGAGGAGCACAGTGTCTGGGCCGGACGTATGGAGGAGCCCACTCTTGTCCCACAGGGTTTTCATTGAGAGTATTAAGAGCAGTGTGCTGCCACCCACCCCATTATCACTGTCTAGTTTGAGGTTAGCTTGACCCAGTGCTATGGAGGCATGTACTGAGTCATACTGATGTTTCTTGTACTCAGCACTCTCTTTCCAAGGGCTTTTTGAGAAACTTTGGCTTTGAGTTTGGCAAAGGTCAGTTTGCAGAAAGTATTAAAATCTGCATTTGTTTAAGAAAGCAAGGCCCCACGTTACAGCTTTACACAGCAGATTAAGCACGTTAAAAAGCAAGTTTAGTGCCCTTGTAAGGATTTGTAAAAAAGCATTAAATCCTTGGAACAATTCAAGAGTATTTTCCCACCAGCTCTCCGATGGATTTCACATCGGTGTAGTAGCTTGTCAGCAACTATGCAGTGAGGGTAAGGTTTGTGTCTTAATTGATACTCATCAGTTGACCTGACTCTCTTAGAGCCTGTGTTTCGTTGAGATCCCTAGTATGTTAAATGTGTGTCATTTTCCTAGCCTGCAGTTAGAGAATAACCTGTCAAACAGGGTTACCAAAGCATTTGTTCTTTGTCTCTTAATTGAGTGTTATGCGATGGGACTGTCGCTGACAGATTTGGGTTACTGGGAGCTATGTTTCCCTTGGAGGAGAGGAAAGTGTCCTGGAGCATTGACACCCCACACTATGGCTGTTGCTGTTCTGAAGCACTGACAGCATATATGCACAGCCAGTAAGATAATGTTGAAATCTTTGCGCTAAATTTTTTGCTTTTTTCTATTTTAAAGATAGAAACTGGAGATTATTTTAATGTAGCTCTTGGTATCCAGCATCTTCCCTTTGCTGGAGTAACAGATGTATTTGTTGATGTAAGATGAAATGAATGTGGACTAAATATATCTGTGTAGCCTTCATATGCATAGTATGTGAATGAGTGTATGGGGTGTGTCTATGCTCGTGTGTCATTCTAGCTATGGAGCAATGAAAAAAACCCAGAGCAGTGTGCCTAGAGCGTTTTGGCACTTCAGCCCTGGGAAATGGCAGCCAGCCAGAGAGCACTGAGGCAATGCCAAGAATATCTGAAAAATGCCAAATGCTGAAGCTGTAGACTTTTCCTGCCTTGCTGTTGCTTCTCTCTTCACCCCTGTATGCCTGCAGATTACATCCTGTGCTGTTAAATGCTGATGGCCTCACATGGCAGGAATGGACAGGCCTGGTGTAACCAGGTGTGTGTGTTCATAGTCACTCTAAGATCACAGGGTTCTGATTGGACATGGCTGGAGTGTGACCCCCGTGAGTATGACTGTTATACATTCTGCATCACAATTACATCTGGAGAAGATCACCTGAACAGATCTAGGATCTGTGCCCCTGTGAAATCATAACATCATAGTGTCAGGGCTTGAATGCCACCCCAGGATGTGCTACATTTTCTGTTACAGTCCAAAACATTGATAAAATCACCTGCTCAGTTGAATGAATTTGTGAAGTGTTTCCAGCAGAGGGTGCTAAGAATATTGATATAAATCTGAGTAGTCCTCTTGTGGTGTGTATTGGAGAGGGTTGTATGTAAATAAAATTTCACGCTATATTTTCTTGGCTTCTAGACTGTCATAAAAGAGGGGATGCTGATGAAACAGACCAGCTCATTCCAGCGCTGGAAGAGGCGATATTTCAAACTGCGAGGACGAACGCTCTACTATGCAAAAACTGCGAAGGTGAGCTGCTGAGTGTGCATCTGAGCCAGAGGAAAGGGCAGCTGGGAGGATGGAGGTGTATGGGTGTATGTGAGCAGTGAGCCCTCGATCCGGGAGAGAGCAGCGACCCTTGAGATGTCTGTCCGTAGGCTTTATCACAACAGAAGCCTTCATTTACTCAGCTGCACAGCTTGAAATACCATGCTCCTTTGTGTTTAAAACACAATGAATGTATGGGAATCCAGCAATGATGCTGTGTGTCAGACCTACCTCTCTATCCTCTATAGTTGGGACTGAACTCAAACCCAATAGGAACTGAAGTAGGAGGGAGAAAATGTGGATGAAGGGAAGACCTGGGAAACCTAGAATTTGCCATATCAGCGACTTAGAGCTCTGTGTAAGCTCGAAAGCTTGTCTCTCTTTCTGCGACAGAAGTTGGTCCAATAAAAGATGTTACCTCACCCACCTTGTCACTCACCTTGTCAGTATCTTGACTGACCGTGTCTACTCTTTAGAGCTGTTAATTTTACTCCTTTCATAAGTACTACATTTACAGCAACAACAACATCAACAAAATGTAACTATGCCATGAAAGTGATCCCTGAGCGTTTACTGAGAAGGGAGGCTGGGGCAAATGTGGGCACTGGTGCCTTCATGGAACTGTTCTTGTAAGTCCTATTTCCTACTGTCAGTCCCAGTCCCTTTCAACACAGATCCCTACTGGAGAGTATGGGGCTGACATTTATAATAGGAACCCCACTGGGGATGTTTCTTACACACCTGATTCACTGTTCTGTTTTTTGTTTTGTTTTTTCCTCAGTCGATAATTTTTGATGAGGTTGATCTGACAGATGCCAGTGTGGCAGAATCTAGCACTAAGAATATCAACAACAGCTTCACGGTAGGATTTATCAGACCACTTCCATCCTCCCTCCATTTCTCCCCCTTCTCACTTTCTAAATCTGAAGATTCTGCCTGGTTTGAAAAGCTCTCAGCTCCATTCATGGCCCCCTCCTTGGGGGAAGTCTAACAGTGCTGTTCAGCCATCGTTGAAAGGGCAGCTGTTGTACTAACCAAGCCATAAGAAGATGCTGGACAGTGGTACATGGTTTGGTTTGTGACAGAGAGATTCCATTATTACCTGCTGAGGGTTGCAGTGATTTCTACATTATGATACACACAACTGAATGTTCCTGTTTAATACAAGTGTATGATGAGTGCAACCTTATGGCTAGATTTTTGTGCAGAAAAGTCAAGAAATATAAATGTATGTTCCCCACAGCAATTGTAAGCCATCCCCCTCCATACATGAAATATTTTGGATGACTGGGTATGCTGTTAAATATATGTCTTTAAAGATACGCTCTTGTTAAACACACGTTTATTGGGCCTCTCTAATACTGTTCATTTATATAGCAGGACAGCATAATTCCCTCTGCGGCAGGAATTATGGGTGAAGTTCTGTGGCGTGTGCTTTGCAGGAGGTCAGATTAAATGAATGTAGTGGTCCTTTCTGGCCTTAGAATGTGTGAATCTATACATGTGTCATGGCCAAATTACAAATTGTAGCTATAAACCCCTAGGGAGAGGAGGAAGTAAAAGGGATCCTACGGAGTTCACAAAGAGCTGCATACTGATGTTATAGTGGGAGTAGAGGAAGATAAGAGATAGTTAAGGTAAGGTTGCAGAACTGGGGCTAGTTCTGTGTATGCCTTTGCCAGAGGAGCCTGGCAATAGGTATTAGCCTTATCCCAAGTTGTAGCCCTTTGATCAGATGGATCTGGACAAAGTGGCTATGGCATAAACCCTAGAATCTGGTTAAATTCCAGCGTTTTCTCATAGAATGCATCTTCCAGTCTGGTAGTCAAGGGCTCAGAGATGGCCTTGCTGAGTCTGAGAGTGAGTACCCACACTACTCTCCAGGGTCCAGTGATTTCTATACAGGACAGGGAATCAGGAACCCTTGATTTCTAATCCCGGTACTGACATGTATTCTCCCTGTGGCTCTGGGAAAGCACCAATGCCTGCCTCAGCTTCCCAATCTATAAATCAGAATAATTTTACAGGTAAAAACTCTAGTGAGGAATATTTACAATGTGTACAGTGCTCGGGTAATGCAAGCGTTGTAGAAGTGCTAACATTGTTACTGTATTAGTTGTGGTAATTTGGGAACATCTCTAATTTCTGCCTGGGGCAATGGATGTATTGTGAGGAGGCAGACGGAATCATCATGTTGCTTATACAACTTCCTGCATCTGAGCAAAGCTGTGAAGGAGGAATCACTTCCAGGACAGTGGCACCAGGCCATGCTACTCCCCTGCCTTTCCTAGGGGCTCAGGGAACAGGAGAATTAGCTTGGTTCTCAGGAAACAGCAAATGGTGCTCTGTCTCTCTGGCTCATGTATCATGGCTGCTCAGGTATTCTGTAGGAAAATATCTGGCCTCTGTGGCTTTCTGCCTGTTCTATCTATTGAGATTCATACGTGGGTTTGACTGTGGTCCACCCTGAGCTATAAAAACTACTCTGCTAATCAAAAGGTTGTGTAGTTGTTATACTGTTTGGTCTGCCACATCACTGCAGTCATTTCTTTGGATTCCTCAGAACCCTACAATTTTCTCCAGTTCTGTTTGTGAGTGCTCTCTGATTTCCCTTCTGCGTCTTCCCAGCTCGCTTCCCCTCCCAAATGCAGAGTTTTTTGATCCGTTTTAAAAGTGCACTTAAGAGAGAACTTTTTCCCGGTTTTTCAAAGCAAACAGGTTAACTAACAAGTGTTGGTTTAGATCCGAGATATCAAACATCTAGTGTATTCTAACAAAGGCAGTTGTCCTTGCATTTCATAAGTTCCATTTGTCTTCACTTTAATGGAAAGTTTAATTTCTGACCTGGCAAGACTGGCCCTTCTCTGAGAAAAGCAGCTCCAACATCCAAGCAGTTGTGCTGCTTAATGGGTAAATACTGCACTTCAAGTTCAGACTAGCAGTTGACTTAGTTCAGGAGATGGGCCCAACTCCCAGTTAGTATTGCCTCTGCTCCTAAATCTACTGACCATGTCACCTATCCTTAATACTAAAAAGGTTGCCATCTTCCTGGATTTAGGCAGGGTGACCTGTTTCTTTACACTACATCTGGTCTCCAAGCTGGCCAGAGCTCAGCACCCTACTCTGTCCTCCTGTCTTACAGAGAGTGGTACAGTTAGCGGAACTAAAGAGTGGATCATCTGTGTGAGAGCTGCATGAACAACACTCTTTGATAGGAGGAAGCATGGGAACTAATGAAGGAAATGGCAAGCAGGAAGGAGATCGCAAAAAACACAGGGAAGGAGTGACTGGAGTAGGAGGAGAAGTTAGGGAAGAGGTTGTGAGGAAAGAGGGGACAGAACGCTGGGAGGAAGGGAGACAAAGCAAGGAGTAAAAGAAGCAAGAATGAGAGTGGAAGGAGGGATACCTGGTGTGAAGAGAAGCCACAGGATCAGGAGAGATCAGGCAGTCAGGAGAAGTACCTGAAGATTAAGGGCTTTGTCTATACCAACATTTAATTTACAGCAAGCTGGGATGTGAAACTACCCCCACACTAGCTTGCCACAGACTGTCTGTGTGGACCCTGCTGCAGTGCATTAACAGTTTGCTAATTCACTTTGATCTAGTCATCTTTGAAACGGGATTAGATCAAAGCGAACTAACAAACTGTTAATGCACTGCAGCAGGGTCCACAAGGACAGTTAGTCCATGGCAGGCTAGTCTGGTGTAGATTTACATCCCCGCTCACTGCAAGCTAAATGTTCATATAGACAAGCTCTAAGATAACTAGCACAACAGATCTTGGTTCCATTTTGGAAGGAGAGTGGCTTGATTTGGTTTTAGCCCAAGGAAAAGGTAGTACCCATAAATCAGGGAAATGGGCAGAAGAAGGGAAGATGTTTTTAAATGCTGGAATTGTAAGATGATACGTTTGGGGAGAGGCAACAAGAACAAAGAATGCTTGTGTGAACGGATTTGAATTAGATGAGGCAGAGATGATGATCAGAAACACAATGCAGGTAGGATCACAGTGCTCTGCAGCAGTCCAGGGCCAACATGGTGATCTGTTGCATAAATAAAGGAATAACATTCAGATATAAAGATACTGATAAGTCTTTTATGTAAGACATTGGTAATATCTGGGAGCTGATTTCTTTGCTGTATAGAGGTAGCTAAAAGGGAGAAATAGAGCAAGGAAGGGGTATAATGTGATTTTATTTATTTACTTATCTTATTTAGATTTCTTTAGTGTATGTCTCCTTGGTTTGAACTGGAAATAGGAGTTAGGATGCCTATTGGGAAACACTCTGATCCCAGATTTGGCTGTGGAGCCAAGTGGTGTGATGGGAGCGGTTAACAAATGCTTTTTAAAGGAAAGCCCAGTGCTGAAATAAAAAATTCTATTGTGTATTTCCTGAAGAGTAAAATGTACCTGCCATAACAGAGGATGGACTAGATGGGCCATTGGATCTTTCCAGCCACAAATCCTGTGTCACTTCCAGCCAACAGCTCTGGAACTGATTTTCCAGTTGTTTCTAGCAGACATTCTTCTCTGGGATCTGTCTGGACTTTCACCCAACTTCTGCTTCTAGTGACCTTTATGCAGATTTCAACATCAATTCATCGTCTCAGTTTACTCAGAGCCTAGTGATTCTGCAGGAGAAAGTTCCCAGATGTCAGCTGTGGCAGGCAGGCAGTGTGTGTGTGGAGAGCCTTAGTGGTTTGATCCCCCTGTATTGATACTGTCCTGAAAGCTGCTGTTTGGAGCTGATGCACAGACACAGCACACAACGGGGCTGCCACTAGCCCTCCTCTTGACCCCTCCTCTGCTGTTAAAGTCTGCTTTGTTGAAGAGGTGGAGCTTGAACTCTTGGACGCCTCCATAAACTCCTCTCCACCCCCTCTCCATTGGGACGTACCTCTCAGTTCTGGCATAAGACAGGAAACAGCATATTTTTTATTACACTCAGCGCCTGCCTCCCGGCTTCACTGCCAGCAGAAGCAAATCTGTTCCACCTCCTCCTTAAGCACACAGCTAATCATCTTGTGGAGAGTGGAACAGAGCTCCATGAGAGTGGCTGCAGAGAGGAATAATCCTATTAATTTTATGTCAAACAATGGATCTTGTTTGTTCTGAGATGGAGGAGATATGGTCAGGACCCTGTAATTTAGAAAAGGATTGAATATGGGTCTTCGGCTTTAAGACCAGAAGAGTGAACAGGGTTTGCTGGACTGGGCATCAACAAAGACAGCACCTACTCCTGGACAACCTCCCACCAGGAATTCAGATTCTTTGGAGTAAGTGTACTTCAGGCTCTAAGTGAATTATACTCTCCTCTTCTGTGCTGATGCATATGTAAAAGTTATATAGAACTGGAATGGGTGTGCAAAAGTGAGTAGTTGCCTGTGGTGCAGTTGGAAGTACATCCTGTTTCGTAACTGATGAGTCCCCTGAACCAGGGTCACAGGGAAAGAAGCAGCATGGTAATTCAGGTTAGAGAAATATCTTACTCCAGTGGAGTATTCTCATCTTCTCTCATTGGTATGGAGAAAAGGGATGGGTTGCTGTAGATTTCAGGAAGACGTGTATGGAATTGCTTGCACTCACGAATGAGAGCATGTTGTCATTTCTTGTGAGGGGGAGAGTACATAGGACATTGTCCTTCTCCAGCCATTCCTCTCTGGAAGCATGTGAGATGGTAACAAGAGGCAAATATGGCTATCTTCTTGCTACTTTACACTATCGTCATCAGGCAAGTAAGATGACAGCACCTGCCTGATGAAGTGGTATGGAAATGGATGTTTTCCCTTGAAGGTGAATGTGTCTGCTGTACTGTCCCAGACTAACCTGCACTCTGCCACTGCAGACTAGCTGGTGTTAAT